TCCTGTGAAAGCTCCCCAGACAGAAACCCAAATGTTCGCTATGTGAAGAAATGTTCTCAGTGCGAAGCCTTCGCTGCAAACTTCGCACAGTGAACTCTTGTCAAAATACCTATTGCCTCAAGTCTGGGAGTGTTCGCTACCTCTTCGCCTAGTGAGTTCTTCGCTCCCTCCTTTGCCTAGCGAGTTTATGGCCCTTTTCTTTCTATTTTGGTTTCCTGGCCTTCGGTACAAAGTTCGCCTAGCGAACTTTATGAAGTTTTGATGGCAGCTTCGCTAGCAAGTTTGTTGTGCGAACTTGCTGTTGTTTGCATGCTGACTTGGTTTCTTTGTTATATTTCTTGTGTCTTACTCTTCACTTTTCATGCCTAATTCCTGCATAATAACATACAAATCAAAGGAACCGAGATATTTTCACATAATGGTGCAAATCAACTAAAGCAAGAGTGATTCTAACACTTTCTTTACAAAAGGGAGTGAAAGATGCCCACATTTGATAGATCAAATAAGCAAAGTTAGGCATCTAACAGACTTCAGCTGCTTCTTCTTCTTCATCAATGGCATCGACTTCAATGTGTTCCTCATCAGATTCGTAAAAAACTTGAGAAGAATCAAGTTGTTGAGACAGTTGTTGTTGTTGTAACGTAACATATAACACAATATCTGAGAAACCGAAATACTCATGACTGCGGAACATGCTACGCACATCTTCATCGTCTTGAATCTTTAATGGGAAAAATTTGCATTGATCGTGCCCACCAAAGAACACCGAATTCTTGTAGATTATTTGGCCAATTGGACCATATTGTAGTTTCTTTTCTAATCTTGACTTCAAGTGTAAAAAATTTGACCTTTTGTCAATCAAAAATCTAGTAACATCAGTATTTCTAAAATTGAAACCGGCTATGTTACATTCAAAAATCTCACCGTTTAAATGTGCATTAATCATGTATTATGATGTTTGAGCCATATTTAAAATTTTAGTAAACTTGTGTTTGAAGGGATTGTTTTACTAATTGATATGATAATAAATCAGCTCTCTCTACTGTATTAATAGCAATAAAATCTTGCTTTTTATTATTACATCTGCTATGTGAGCTTCATGACAAGACTAAACCATGCGTGCCTACAAGGTGAGCTGCATGACAAGACTAAACCCTGCGTGCTTTTATTATTGCCTACCATCTGCACTCTGCATGCCTACCGTCGGCACTTTGCATGCCTACTGTCTGTACTCTGCATGCCTACCGTCTACACTCTGATTTTATGCATCCCTACAAGATTCTTACTAATAAATGTATACACATGGCTACAGTATCCGTCTGCACTTTGCATGCCTAGACTTGCATGCATGCTTGACAACACTACACTCTAGCATAAGATATATTTTCGCTGCACTCTGCATGAATGACAATACTACACTAATGTTTTTTTACCTCACATGCATGACAAGACTACACTTGCACGCTTCCCTTCATCCATGTCACATGCATGCTTGACAACACTCTGCATGCATGATAACACCACATCATGCATTTTCATGTGACTCCTGTACCTGGAAACTTGAACACTTCAGCATGCATTTTCATGTGACTCATCTCATCACATTTGACCATTATAAATACATGTTCATCAAGGAACAAAATCTTCTCATCCCATTACCAGCTCTACTCCTCATACGTTCTACAAATTCTTCTTGTCACTATGCAAACTTCACTCAGCAAACTTCACCCAGCAAAATTAACCCACAATGTCTCTACTCACAATGGGCAACGATCACAGAGGCACAATTGAGAAAATCGCAGAGTTTATAAGTATTTTTCTTTTTGTTGTCGATCTTTACGAAGTTTAATTTTCCTTTAAACCTAATGGCATTTAAATTCTTTTGCAGAATGTATCAAGGTTTCATTGTCGTGTGCATGACTACATACCGCACGACCCTTTAATAGAGGGATACCTTGAAGCATGTGGGTTCGCTAATTTGATCAAAATCAAATCTTACTCACTGAATCCCAAATTTATTCTAGCGTTGTTAGAACAATGGAGACCAGAAACATACACATTTCACTTACCTTTCGGTGAATGTACCGTAACTTTACAGGATGTATACATGTTACTTGGCCTACACATCAACGGTAAGGCCGTCAACGACAAAGTTGGTGTTAATGACCAACTTTGCGAAGATTTATTGGGCGCCCCTCTATATGTCAAGACACGTCATCCAGAACGTCAGGGTCGACCGAGGGGGCAAGGTATTAATTTGAAATACCTCAGACAACATTACAATAGTATCGTGTTAAATGAGGAATCCACCGAGTATGAGAAGATACTTAATACTTGGTGCTATATTATGATATTGTTTGGCCATTTTTTATTTGCAGACAGTACTGGAAATACTGTAAATATTATGTATTTACCATTGTTGCAAAACATTAATAAAGTGTGCGCATATAGTTGGGCTTTTTATTCCCATCTATATAGTGCATTATGTAAAAATGAAAGAAAAAAATTCGTGTACTTTTTATGGTTGCGCTTATCTCCTTCAAGCGTGGGATTGATCTAGGATGCCAACACTTGCTCCAGTCAACTGCAATCCATTCACATTCCCATATGCTAACAAGTAAGTTTATTTTTAAGACGAATTCACAACCGAATTTTCTTTGTAACATAATTATTTGTACGATGTTTCTTAGTGTCTAATTTATTTGTGTTTCTTTTTTTAAGGTGGTTTGTTCCGGGAATGAATTACCAAAGATGTCCCAGGAACTCCATAGTCGTGTACCGCAAACTTATTGAACACATTGGGCCAGATGATGTAATTTATCTACCATTACTTTGTCTAATTGATAAACACATACTTGTATTTCTCATTGCATATATTGTTAATGTAGTTTGTCTGGATGTCGTATGAGGGTCTCGACCACCAGCCCAACGCCAATGATGCTGCCGTGTGGACATCTAAAACACATATCATTAGGTTCACTACAGTGGATATGCACCAAAGTGACCGGGTGAAACTACAGTTCGAGATGCATCAAGATATTCCAGATGCTCCGACGTCATTGGGACACTGGCATCAGCTAAGGGTGGATACACAATGGAGTGTAAATCATTGGAAGGACTTTGCGAAAGAGATGTGACTGCATTGTAAGAACCGACATCAACACATCTTAACCGACCCTATTGTGGAAGGGGCTAGACCAAGTTATCAATATATGATTTGGTTTAGGTCGGTTACAACCTCACAACCATTTGTGTCTGAGCCGACATATTTGATTGACCCGAGGCAACGTGCGTCTTCCTCGACTCCACATCAGCAACCCAATGCCCAACATCAAACACCATGTTATACGCAACATCCAGCTATGCCCACCCAATCAATCTTCGAAAACTGTAACCCATACATGTCACCAACCCAATCACAACAACAAGAGCCTTACCCCTACCGTCAGCGTTCTTAAACGGACACCACTTCTACATATAGCTCTGATACATCTTTTGACCCTACCTCATCCACCTATAGCCCAGATAACTCTTTTGACCCTACACCAGACAATCAATCTTCCTACCAATAAAATACATATCCACCTTTTGACTACCAAACCCCACAACAACCAATACATCGTTTCCAAACCGATTCGATGTACCAATTCGGACAACCATACCGTTCATACCCCACCCAACCTCCCCGACAAAACTACGAAAACATGGACATTGAACTTAATTACAGAAGCGTCGTTGGCAACGGCCCGCCCGACTATTGGGGTCAAATGCTTCAAAATTTATCTAATACGTCGGGATCATCTGAACAAATACCTCTTCCACAGGTCAACACGCAAAGACCAGATACACTTCAACAACCTCGTGGTAGACCTCGACGCCGCGCGCATCCTCCACAATGTAGTACCGGTGGTCGTTTAGATAGAGTCGGCCATTAATTTGCTTTTTTTCATCTGTTGTAATTTTTATTATATTATAAATTATTATAATTTACTATTTCTTGCATTTATATATTTTTTTATGGCGACTCCATGTAGAATAGGATTTTTGCTATATACCCTTACGCCATATGAAATGACGACTCATATCAAGGTGACCTTGATCAGCCATTTTATATGGCGACTTAATATACAAATATAGTCACTTTCGTATTTTTTTAAAATTTTGCATTTATTTAATATTTTAATTGGAAAATATGATTATTTTAAATAAAAAAATCATTAATTGTACCTTGACATTAAATGTGGTTAGGTGAAGACGTGCTGCTAGCAATCTGCAATGTCACAGAAATAAGTAAAAGATAGCAACTAGTATCTTCAATTCTTTATATCTAAAAATAAAAACAACACATTTTTATTAACATAATCTTATCATGCTATAAATCAAGGTGCACTTAGTGGTCCTCATGTCAATTCATAATAATCTTATCATGCTAGAAATTGAAGCCAACAAGATTTAAAATGACATTTTTGTTCTGCACCAGACAAAATAGTCTCACATTCAAACATTCATACACTTGAATTTAACAAAACGTGCAAACATTACTTCGTAATTGCAATGAGCATACTCGTTGTCGATCGGAACATTTTTTTATTTTTCTCAAAAACCTATTCAAAGAGAGATAAACAAATAAATTTTAAAAAATTATAAATAATGGCGGAATCCACTTTAAAATCATAGCCAATTCAACACGGTTAAACAGCTATGAACAAATAATACCAAAATCAAAACTTGATCTATTTCAGTGTAATAACATCCATAGGATGAAGGTACAACAAATAAGAAATTATCAAACAATATATGGTAAAAAAACTAAATATAACACCAGCCTCTCTAGCCCCGACACTTCTCTGAACAAAGGTTTGTCTGATGTGTGATACATATCAGGGCCTGACACCAACATGTTATGGTTACATTCAATTGATTTATATTTTCAAGTTATTACCGGTACCAATGTTTTGTGTCAGTGTCTGTATGTGTTTCATACCAGCCTCTTCACTCTTTCACTCTTGAATTCTTGGATGTTCCTCCCATTTCTTCATAATCTCAAGAAAAATCTCATTCCATGTATCAATAGCCCCGGGCAAACACCAATGAACACAATCATTCTGGACGCGCTCGGGAACACCATTCGCAAATGGAAAAGGATACATATAAGGACCCGGATGACCATCTGGTCTCAACAATGCCAATTTAGTTACATCAAGTGCCTCAAACCTAACCCCTCCAAACTCACTACCTTTCACCTTAGCATCTTCCACTTCTTCAACCTCAATCTTCCTCATCTCACCATCCATTCCTTCAAGCTCCTTCTCTCTACTTCTATAAGGCCTAGTCTTTGGACAAGCACCAGCTTTATCCCATTCACCTTCAAAATGAGCAGGCGAAAACGTCGTCACTATAACATCGATTTTACCACCTTTACTCCCTCTCCTATCAATTACACTATTAAGACTAGTCCTCAAAGCCTTTCTCAAAACTTCATAAAACCCGATTTCGGTATGATTAAGACCAACACAATAATGACAACCTAAAACCGAATCACCCTCGTAGTAAACCGCAGGATGCAAAAACCAATGACCAACAGAAAGCACAATCAAATCCATATGATCCATATCCTTAGCCCATTTCTCATCAACGAGATCCAAATACAATCTATTATGATTCAACCCTTCATTTGATTTCTCAACACCTTGCACAAGAAAAGGTGACCAATACACCGAAACACTAGCATTATGAGAATCAAAACGCCACTTTCTAAATTTGTTATCTTCGCCATTTGTGTAAACAAGATCAGGAGATGAAACAGTTGATAACATACATAGAAGTGACTCTAACTGGTTCCTAGCCATAGAATCTCCAACAAAAGCTACATGCTTGTTTTCAATGAGTTGAAGAAAAGTTTTAGGTTCAAACCTTGGAAGCTTGCATTCATTTGGCTTCCATCTCCAGTAAAGATAATCAGAATCTGGTCTTCCATGTTTGATGCAGTTTTGTCCTTGTTTGATTGTTCCACATGTTGTTCCATTGTATAAAGGTCCTCTTCTGTCACGGATCCATTTTCCATTGAAGTAATCACAAGGGGGAGTGTCAAAAGTATTTTCCTTTTCTGCTGAAAAAACACATTCAAGCAAATCTTAGAAAAACAAACAAATCTTACAACTCTAGTTTCTAATCAAGATTTAAGACAAAACCCATTTGTAAAAACATGATTTTTAACTAGATGAGACTACGCAAAGGTGTACCTGAGGGAGGAGGTGTAGAAGGAAAAGAAGGGGGTGCAGAGATGGAAATAATGGTGTTGGAGATGGAATGAGGAAGTTCAGATTCAGTAGATGGAAGAAAAGGAAGAGGGTAGAGGTATAAACTAAGAAGAGCAATGGGAAGAAGAGCATAGAGAGTCCAAGGAAAAAGCTTTTTGGTGAGGGAGTGAAATTGATCTTGGAAAGGATATGAAGAAAACCCCATTTTCAAAGCCATGTTTGTTGCTTCTTTTTGGTGTTTTCAGATGAGATATACAAGAAGAAAGAAGAAAGTAGACATAAAAGTAGATTTTGATTTTTTTTTTTTTTTTTTTTTTACAGAAATTGTCAAAAGGGGAAGTTAGGACTTTTGGAGCATTGAGAAAGAGAGAAAGCATGTTACTTGACTTGCTTAATTCAATTGTTAATTGTTAAAACTGTTTTGAATTATCTCCCTCATTTTTTTTTCTCTATAGAGTATCTCAAAATATATCTTTATTATTATTCTCCCCATTTCGAGTAAAAGTGTTTTATTTTATTTATTTACTTCAAAATGATTATCAATTTAAAACATTAATATTTATACTTTTTCATTATTATATCTTCACTCGTTCACTTTGGCTTTCTTAACTATTTTATTTAATTATTTAAAAAAAATTAAAAGATGTAATATAATAAAATTAATACATGAGTTGATATTACATCGAAATATATTAGAATGTATTGTCTTTTAAATTTTAAAAATTAGACCGGTCATTAAATAATAAGGATATTGAGTCACTGATTAGTTGATCAAATTATTTGATTATTATTCGAATTGCATGACTAAATTGAATTAAACAGAATAACTCGGTTGAATAAACTGATGTTTATAACATAATTATATAGTTATTAAACTGATTGAGTCGAATGACTTTGTTTATAAAAAAGTAGGACAATTGCCAAATTTTATAACTTTACAATTTCATTCTTTAAATTCAAATTTCAAACATAATCGTCGCATACAATAAAATAGTATAAAATATAAATTTAAATAAATTTTAAACGAATAAATTTAATTTTAATAAAGAAAGTTGTTTCAAATAAGTTTTGACAAAGTTTACTTATATTTTAGTATTAATTTTTAAAAAAAAAATATCAAAACAACGTTGTTTTCCTATAAAAAAAGGAAGCATTTAACCTGTTGATTTTCCTCAATTTTGGTCGGTTCTAGTCTATTCTCACTGGTTCAATAGCTTTTTTGATCCAGTAATCAGACCAGACCAATGACCCATTCAATTTTCGATTTGATCAACTGATTATGTTTGGTTTTTAAAACACTACACGCAAGTCAAATTAAGTTTAATTGTCCACTCAATTTACGTCATCTCAGAATAATCGTTATTTTGGAAGAGGCAAAAATAATTTTAGAGGTGTAGAATTGATTCTGGAGTGATTTTGAGGTGTTTGATTCTTCTAAAATTGAATTTATTCTGCCTCTAAAATTGATTCAACTTGAAATAAAATTTATAGCTTATGAGTTTAAATATGATTTTTATACTGAAATTTGTTATTCAACTTACTTCTTACATACATGGAATTTTTACATACATGAAATGTAACCCAACATAAATCAATTCTAATAAACTCATTTCTGTCAAAATCAAATTATACAAAACTCAATTCTATTAAAATTAATTTTGTCCACCACCAATTTAAACACACAAATAATCCCCTAAATTGGTATACATGATTGTCCAGTTTGTTGGACAATTATTACAGGATGAATGAATGAGACCCGTTAAACCAAAATGATTCTATTGATAAATGGAAAAAATGAATTGAATACAAGATAAAAGTCAATATATATATATATATATATATATATATATATATATATATATATATATATATATATATATATATATATATATATATATATATATATATATATATATATATATATATATATATATATATATATATATATATATATATATATATATATATATATATATATATATATATAAAACAAACTCTCTAAAGCCCAACAAACTATCTAACAAAATAAGAATCTCAATAAAAATAATTAAGTTTGTAATACCCCCATAAGCTTGAGAGTAAATAGAATGAACTCCATGTTTATAGATGTTGAGATGGAAAGGTTTTAGGTCTAGCAGTTTTGTGAGAATGTCAGCGACTTGTTCGGTTAAAGAAACAGGTAGCCGGTAGAATAATCTTTGTTGAAGCTTTTCTCTTATAATGTGACAGTCCAAATCAATATGTTTGGTGCGCTCATGGAAGGAAGAGTTGCCTCCTTCTCTTCCTCCTTGTTCTTCTTCTCACTTTTTCTCCCCAAACCTTTCTCTGGCAGTTTATCGTGTTCTAATTCTCTTTCCCCAAAAAAACTTCTCTATTTCCTTTAATCTCTTATTTCTTATTTTATTATTTAAATCCTATAATAATAATAATAATACTAATATTATTCTCCCACTAATATTACGGAGTTGCCTAAAAATACAGTATCCATTAATGGATCCTCTTGTATCTGGGCATGTGGCCCATTCTTAAACATTAAGTTTTAGAGTTGATGAAGAAGGGAAAAACAATCCTTGAACGGGAGAAATCTTCAAATACCAAAGAACATGAATAACTAACTACATTATGATGAGTTGTTGTAGGATTTCTCATATGTTTAATAAGTTGTTAGGCATCAAAAGTAATGCATGGGCATGTGTTGAGGAGGTAGATTAATTGCCCAACCAAACGTCTGTATGAAGTTGGGTTTGACAAAGGTTCTCCATCATTTGATTAATGTTGAGTCCTGACTTGTTTCTTGCTACTTCCAGTCTAAAAAAATACTTCAAAGTGCCAGGGTCCTTGATGTAAAAATGATGTTGTAATGAACTTTTGGTGTGTTGAATTATGTCTAGATTATTATCTATAATGATGTGATCATCAACGTAAATAAGTAATATAGTAAAAAGATTTTTAGATTAATGAATAATTAGAGAATGATCAACAACACATTAGAAAGCTTTGTAAGTCATTGCTTACTTGATTGTTTGAAACCATAAAGTGATTTCAAGAGTTTACAAACTTGGTATGGATATAAGGGTTGCATGCCTTTTGGTAAAGTCATGTAAACTTCCTCATCTAAATCCTCATGAAGGAAAGCGTATGAAGATCAAGTTGGAGAATGTTGTGAATCGGATACCTTTAAACAAAGTATAAACGGTTTCTTTCTTATCAAAAAACACACAAGGGTTAGGGTTAATAAAGAAGACAAGGTAAAACAACAAGGAACAACAAGGATTGGTTATTAAACTGCTATTCTTTCCTTTCTCTTAGAACAAGATTACAAGTATACAAGAATAACAAAATAACCTCTCTCCCTTGAAATTAGGATTTTATCTTCCTATTTTTTCTTATGCCAAGATTGAGAAACTAGCATCCTATTTATAAGAAAAATAGCACACTAACCTAATGGGCTTTTTAACAATTACCCATTATAAGCCAACTTAGGGTACAAGCTAACTTAAACAATTGGGCTTACAAGCAAGGCCCAATTCAACATGCTAACAACCCTAGCAATATTGACTAATGCATGTTAGAACAAACTTCGACTACAACACGCATTACTTACGAACAGACTTTGACAAAACTAGAGTTCAATCCAACGTCTCACAAATCTCCACCTTGGATCTAACTCTATAACATCAAGAAACTAGCTTTCTTCATGCAGCTTTATTAATTGCATACAGTGGAAAAACTTGCAACTAGGCAACGTCTTGGTGATCATATCAGCAGTATTATGATCTGTCGAAACCTTTAGCACTTGGACTTCTCCATGCTCGATCACCCCTCTGATGAAATGCAGCCTCACATCAATGTGCTTGGTTCGCTCATGATAGGCTGAATTCTTCGACAGGTGTATTGCACTTTGACTATCACATTTAACAGTGATAACTCGACCTTGAAGTTTTACCTCCTTTGCAAAACCTTCAAGCCACAATGCTTCCTTCACAGCTTCAGTTAGAGCAATATACTTCGCTTCAGTGTTTGATAATACAACGACCTTCTGAAGTGTTGCTTTCCAACTGATTGTTGTCCTAAACATAGTGAACACATATCCAGAGATAGATTTTTTGGAATTCATACAACCTGCATAATCAGAGTCGACATATCCTTTGATTGCTGCTTTACTATCTTCACCCATCTTCTTATTATCATGAAGAGATTTCATCTCATCATCCATGGCCTTCAGCTATTCATTCTTCTTTCGACTCCTCATAACTTCCTTATAGTCTCTATGTTCTTCATCTAGAACCTCACTAGCAGAGATTAAGGCATAAGCTATAAGATATGCATACCCAAGTCTCTAAGGTTGCTTGATGATTCTCCTCGACCTGTCTCTTGCTAGTAGGTAGTCATTATCAATCTCCTCATCTTCGACAACATCTTTTGCGTCGTCTTCGACTTCATCTGGGGTAAGCAACTCAGCATCAACATGCTCCACCTCAACAGGAATCTCTCCATGTTCCAACTCTTCGTCAGCATCATCAGTTTTCTTGAAAGCCATCTCTGCTTCATTGAAAACTACATCTCGACTGGTGATACACCTCCTGTGACCTGGCTCTAAGCACCATAGCCTATAAGCTTTGACTCCTTCAGGGTATCCCATGAACATGCATTTCAGAGCTCTAGGTTCGACCTTGTCTTGCCTAATATGAGCATAGACCACACAGCCAAATACTCTCAGCCTGTCGAGACTAGGTGGATGTCCCGACCAAACTTCTTCAGGTGTCTTCATTCCCAAGGCAGTCGAGGGACATCTATTTATCAGGTAAGCTGCTGTCGAAACAGCTTCCGCCCAAAACACCTTCTTCAATCCAGCACTAACCAACATGCATCTGACCCTTTCAAAGATTGTTCGATTGAATATCTCAGCTAAGCCATTTTGTTATGGAGTACCTGCTACAGTCTTATGCCTTGCAATCCCAGACTCAACACAGTAACTGTTGAACACTTCGTTACAGAATTCAAGGCCATTGTTGGTTCTCAACCTCTTAACCTTTCTGCCAGTTTGAGTTTCGACCAGAATCTTCCAACTTTTGAAATTCTCAAAAGTTTCATCCTTCGTCTTCTGAATGAATACCCATAGCTTTCTGGAATAGTCATCAACGATGGATAGAAAATACCTTGCACCTGAGTGTGAAGGATTCCTTGCAGGCCCCAAAAGATCAGCATGAATGTAAT